TTCGCAATTACCGCAATCCAAGCCCAAGTGCACGCAGACCCCCAGAGAGCTGGTCCAGCACAACCACTGGTATGACCAGTGCAGGTACCACACTTGAGAACTCCCCTCCTAAGGCAAATTAATATACAAAAAATATTTCTTATGTGCAGAGATATGCCAAGATTTGTAATCTTACAGATATTCAACTGGTTTTAAATGCTTGCATTTCTTTCACATATTCACAGACACCAGAATTATCAGTGGTTCACATCTGTGTAGTACCATGCCCTTCTTCCCACCTCTTAACTGGGGAAACTATGGGAGAGAAACTAAATAACAGGTCTTGGAAACACAACTGCAGTTCTTCACTAGGAATAGAAAGAGTGGAAAGAAAGATCACAAGTAAAATTACATTCTTTATTCATTCCACTTTAGCTGTGAATATTCCTATTATACAAATACAGTATAAATTCCAAAATCACAATATATTACAAAATAAAAAAGTACAAACTGCATTACTTAATAAATATATCTAACAAGTTAATCAGAAAGTAGAAGACAGAGTTAAGATTGGAAACATCCAAATGTTTGACCCAGCAAACCATACAAACCTTGATTTAAATACTTTTCCTCCTTTTAAACCATAATGTAGAACAAACACCATTCCTGATTTATTAGAAAATAACGCCAAGTGAATAAAATGTTGTGATCAGATAATGAGTTGTTGGTGCAATACCAGTGCCAGAAAAGCAGCAGGGCTTATACAAAAGACATCATAACCCCAGAAACAAGAACACAAACACCGAGGTGCAGCCAAGGCAATTACTGCCAAAGTGGGAGACTATTATCTAGTCACAACATTCTATTTCAAGTTAAATGTTCTGTTATTACAGATAACTAATATAAATGTAGCAGAGGGTAAGCCAACCAGGCAACAAGAGGCCAGTTTACTCAAAACAGTAATTAAAGAGTCAACTGCTCCCTGTACTGCTCACGTGTAGCTGCATTCCAACTGGCTCAAAGGACCTGTTCTGTGCTCCAGGCAGAGAAAGCAACTGCTCTGAAAAGCAATCTGTTCATACTTTGCTGCACTTTAACAAAAAACATTGGTTTAGTTTTGCAAGAAAATATCCATGATGCTTTCATCATTAGGGAGGGTTAGTCTGACATCAGCTTCATTTGGTAAAAATATAAGGTTTATGGGTAAAAAACACAGCAAAAAATAGCTGTTACATCATAAGCCTTATTTACAAAAACAGTTTACAAACGTTTTGGCTGTACAGCTGAAAGCCAGATACTAATGTCAGGTGTAGAAGATGGAGGTAACAGTTTAAAAATATTGTGCAAAAAAATACATTCTGATAGAAAATAGACAGTGGGGAGACACAAACATATGTGGAAAATCTGCTTGCAAATAATCCGAGGCTGTGTTTTTACAATAGACTGTTACAACACATTTGCATTTATCCCCCCACAATCTACAGTCCTTCTCAGTCTGGGGTGCTGCTGCTGCTTCATTAAGGATTAAGGCATCACCATCACAGCCAGCACACTTTCCATCTGTCTCAGTCCCTGCAGCAAAGCTCCCAGCCTGCAATCCAGGGGGTCTCAAGAGCAGGCATTCTGCTCAATGTACATCTTGGACAAGGACACCGCCATGGACTTGGCCAGCTCCTCATCCCGCCTGCGCTGTACCTGAGTCTGTCTGCACCAGGCCTCGTACTCTGGGTTGGGGCACATGCGGTCCAGCACAGCATCATAGTGCCCATTGCTAAGCCAGCTCAGCCAGATACTGGGCCGTGTTGGGTCCTCGGGCCCCAGGTAGTGAACCATGGTGGAAACAGTGGGGCTCTCGGGCCGGCCACCTGTGGTGAGGTGGATGTTCACGTTCAGCATCTGCCCCATGGCCAACAGCTCCGGGTAGCCAGCCCAGGCCCCGTCCTGAGCGGCGGCGATGAGGAACTCTCCCACGTCGCCCTCGATGATAGGGGTGAAGTGGTCCAGGTGGTCGGCGATGTAGTGCACGGTCTGCTCGCGGAGCTCGCTGTGCAGCCGCTGGTCCCCGTACATCGCCTTGCAAACGGCGCGGTACAGGCAGTTCCCGTCGGGGATGATGTGGAAACGGAACCGGCCCTTCTGTCGCAGGTATTTGTCTTGCTTCTCCACCTCGGCCAGGTACAGAGCCAGCTTCTCGCTGCGTTCCGGCCTAGCTCCCGGCACCCTGCGCACACCGAGATCCGCTCGGTCCTCCTCCTCCTCCTCCTCCCGGGCCGTGGGGCCGGCGACAGGCCGCGCGGGGCTGCGGCTCCGCTCTGCAGGGACACAACCAGGTGTCAGCCCGGGCTGGGCGCCGGCGGCCACCGCCTGCAGCGCCTGACAGTGCTCGCTGAAGCGCAGGCTGCGGTTGCTGGGCTCCTCGGCGGGCGGCGGCAGCGCGGCGGCCTCGCCGTCCCCCCCGGCCTGCCGCATGCTCTCCAGAATGCCCTCCAGCCAAGCCCGGCTGCGTGGCGAGGCCGGGACCAGCTCGCCGGGGGACTCGACTCGCTGCACGATGCGTATGGGCACGATGCGCTCCAGCGGCCGCCGGCGGCTGACAGTGACCTGCGCGCAGGTGCTGTATTGCGGGCCGCCCGCCGGCCGGCTGCCCGGGCCCGCCGCAGGGCCGCTCGGCATCACCTCCAGGCAGGAGGAGAACGCGGGCATGGCGGCGGCGCTGCTGCTGCTGGTGCTGCTTCCCCCACAGGGAACGAAGGCGTCCTTAGCGGAGCTCTCAGCGGCCGGATTCGGACCCGCGGCGGCTGCGCTTGGTGCCTCCGCGGAGGGGTGTCCCGGCGATAAGGAGACCTTGAAGACACCGGTGCTCGGCGAGGCGGCAGCTGCTGCGGTGGCTGTTGCGCCCGCCGGGTAATGGGTGATCACCGAGCTGTAGAGCTGCATCCTCTGTTCCCCGCGGGCGGCGCTTTATAGGCGGCGCCGTCGGGGCCGGGGCGGGGATCGACGGCGGGGGCTGCGCTGGGGCTGCCGGAGAGGATGAGCTGCCCGGGTAAAAATAAACAAGGGCATCACCCCCACCAATCCCCCCGCCCCTGCGCGCCCAGCGGCCGGCTGCGCCCCGCGGACACGGCAACTCGACTGCGCCACCACCTCCGCCACTGCCGACCGGCCCGGCCCGGCCCGGCCCCCTCCGCACAGCTCGGGCGCTTCTGGAAGCTGCTGGAGGCCGGGCCGGGGGCGGGGCCGCGCCGTGTTTACCTCAGGGACAAGGCACGTTGGAATGCGCGGGGGGTGGAGTTGAGCGATGTGGCGTCATCGAGTCCGGTCTGCTGCCGGAAGGGGACGCGGTACGGGCGGGGCGGTTCTTCCGTCAGTGGCGCCGGGCGTGAGGGGTCCGGCCGTCAGTGGGGCCTAGACCGCAGTGGGTCCCTCCGCTGCCCTCGGGGAGGGGCGAGAAGTGTGTAGTAGACATGGCGTTTTTCAGCGTGGTCTGGGTTGGGCTCTTGGTGTAGGGCCGGCTTCCCCTCTCTGCTTCAGCCCCGTGTCGGGGAAGCGGTGCTCAGCGGCTGTGGCGGCGCGGGCCGGCCGGTGAGGGTGGGTGCTTCTGTCTCAGAACTGTTCGGGGGAAAATGCCTGCAGTCCCCTGTGGGGATTCGGTGTGTCACTGCTGCTGTGCAGGGCTGGGCACTGGCTGTGACATCGTTTGGTAACGGGAAGTGTTGAGGAGACTTCAAAGAGGGAACACTGCGCCGGGTGTGCTTGGGGGCCGAGCTGGGAAATGCCACAGGAGGCAGTGAAAGCAGCTTCTCATGAAACAGTTTGTCAGACAAGCAGTTTGGGCTTTAGACTCGCAGCTTGATATTTAGACTCGACTATCAAGTATAAGTTGTTGGAGATGTTCTACCTATGTTTATGATGCTGTGTTGTATCCATGTTACTGCTGAATGATGCTTCTGCCAACATGTAATCAGTGTCATGATTCATAATTTGCAGTTAGGGTAAGAATAATACTCATCAGTTTTCTGACACAAGCTGCTATTTGTCCACCTGCAGCCCTACTTCAGAAAATAGTGCATGCATACATAGAGTATGATGTAAATTGTCACATAATAACAGGAGACACCAAATTTAAAATATAGGTCTCATAAAGATTATTGATAATTGGTTTGTTAATATGTGTAGTGTCTTCAAATTAAGCTATGTCTTTTAGCCTTAGCTGTGATATAAAGTAATATCAGACCCTTTGTCCATGAACAATGACATCATATGTACACACTGGATTTGATGATGTTCTGGCAGGCATGATGTTTCTTGCTGACCAAGGAACACCAGTTTATACTATGATCAAATGCTAACACAGGCATTTATTACTACCAGAATGGAAATACAGTGTATTGATGCATGTAATTTCAAAGTGATAGTTAAAAATAATTAAGTAATTCTGGATTTCATTCCACAGTCTTAAATATCTTTGAAAAAGCTTTAGTAATCCAAACAGCAGAATTTAAAAAAAAAAAAAAAAAAAATTCACCTCTAAATGGATATTCTGAAAAAAAATATTTTCCTTATTCCATTTATGTTAATTGAAAAGATGTAACTAAGAAGATCACTTGCAAAAGGCTGCAGAGTCAAAAGCCGTTGTTTCTTTGGAGTCTTGGCTGTCCTTTGGATCCATGTCCAGGGATGTATTTCCCATCTTCAATTTCTGCAGCTCATTCAAGGGCTACGAGGAACACAATATAGAATTCCATTCTCTTTACACAGAAAACATGTTCTGATCCCTTCTGCTAACTTGCATGTTGAAGGAAAAATGCTGAAATCCTTCATGCTAAAAACTCTGGATATTTATGGGAACAGTCTTCACATCCACCTGTTTTATTCTGGATAAAACACAGCAGCTAATTCCATGCATTATTGGGAACTTCTTGATAAAAAATTACAAGGTCACTATATGTCCAAAATCATTGCCTTCAGAGTTGAAATGCAAGAGGGGCATCAGACATGAATCAAAGCCCAGAAGTCCTTACCTGCTACAGCCAGAAAGTTGGTATCTTCAGAACAAATGGTGATGGGCATTAGGCAGGAGCATTTCTGGCAGCCTGTTACAAGGGGATAAGAGGTTACAACTGCTCTGAAATTACAGAGTGACTCTTGCATTTCAGAATGTTCAGAACTTTGTTATAAATATAGCTTGCAAGATCAGAGAGTATTTCTGGACTAATTGCTGCATGGAGAGGAGTATATATTGATCAGAGAGTGGTAAACTGAAAACTTCTTAAAATGAAGGCTTGGAGCAAAGGAAAGATGCTTGTCTAGTTTTGCTTCTTAGTCAAGACCTGATAAGGTATTCCCAAGTTAAAATGTCTAGTGTATTGATATGTAATTTAATGTAAAATCACTGGAAGTTACTCCCTCCTAGAGAGTTTTCAATGTGCCAGTAGCTGTTCATTGTGAGTTTGTTCATTGTTATAATAAAGATGTACACTACTCCATGCCCACCAGCCTTTCTGCCTTCATTTCCTAGTTACAAAAGGTATCTCTGTGGTTTTATTTAGTGAATTGCTCTGTCTGCTAGTAAATGTCAGAGCTGAGTGCAGGGTGATTGGGTTCAAAATCTTAGTCTAATAACAGAGAGGGGGGGGAGAAGCAAATCTAGCACTCTTTCTGTTAGAGAACAGTAAATGGAGCCAGCAGAGTAAGTGTGCTTCTGTCTTAAATGAGTGCTGTGTTTTGAATATTCAGTACCAGAGTTTTCTTTCTTCCAGGATATTGCAGAAACTCCCACTAATGACTGTTCTGCCTCTCCAAAACCACAGGTTATTTGGAACAGTGGTACATTAACAACTGGGCAGCTGGTTAGTTCTGATTGATGGTTACAATGAAGTACAATGCTTGTGGTGCTTTGTTTGAGGAAAGAAACAGATTTCTTATGTACACCCAAATTACCATCATGTTAGTATTCTGTTGCTCCCTGAGCAAAAAGCCAAGGAGTATCTTGAAATACATGCTATATACACAGGCAGTTTTTAGTAATGGTAGCAGATAGATTGTTCTTTTGTTCTCTTTTCATTTATAAACAGATATTTTTCAGTTAAAATGCACATGGTAAGCTTGCTAATAAGGTTAAAACGATCAAAATCTGTTACTAGGTAACTGACAGACACAACAAACATTTGTATCACTGTCTTAGTAGTATATGACTTTGGGCATGCTTATTACCTCCCTTGTGAAGTAAATGGAAAGAAAAGCTCACAGTGGTGTGGTTTACCTGTGTTGTTATTAAATACTGACAGTGTACTGCAACCACTATTTTCCATAACTGAGCACCTAGAGTTAGTCACATGTACTTGGCCCGGGGGGCCAATGCAGTCTCTCTGGGTGATCAATGACAAAAACTCCATTGAACCGCTGCAATACAAGCATCTCATGGTTGGTTTTCAGCTTTCATATTAGGAGGTACCAGAAATCAGCACTTACCTAAAAGGTAGTTTTCTTACATCTGGTTTTAACAATCATGTCCTAAACTGTGGTCTGCTCCAGAGAGGAATGATCAATACAGTTCTGGTGTAAAAGAAATTGCAAGGCAGAATTTGAATGTCTTCAATGAAAGAGTATCTAAAAAGTCAGGGGGCATGTGGATGTGCCTTAGTGCCTTTTCCTACCAGAAGATGGAGGTTTGCTGCTTCTGTGAGCTGCATAGAAAGCTGCAGCTAATTCCAGGGGGAAAAACAAACAAACAAATAAAAAAAAACAAAAAACAAACCCAAACAAACAAAAACCAACCAAAAAAAAACAGCTTTGCTTTAGTGTGGCCTGGATCAAACATCACGCACAGATTGATTACTTGCAGAATATTCCTGCATGTGCCACTTCTGTCACTGTGGCCTGCATGTTGTGGCCTCACAGGCACTAGAGGGGTATGGAAAGTGAGAACACAGTACAGAGATGCCTTTTCACCGTCTTCCTGGGTGTAACAATCCTGGGCTTCTGGTTCACTCATTATAGGGTAATGTACAGTCCTTTGCTAATACAGAATAGATCTTGAAACAGTCTTTGTAGTAATAAACATCTCCTGTAGTTAAAGTTTCTCCTGACGAGAGTGTTATCGCTGGTTACGCTGCACATTCCAGGAATTGTCTGGATTGTTTAGAAGGCAACCCATGATCACAAGAACAGCTGTGGAACAACAGTGGTATTCACTGACGTAAAACTACATGCCTGAGAGTGGAACTACTTTTAATTTTAATGTGTAGTAGATACATGACTGACATAGAAGGAACAAATTAATTACATCACCAGGAACATTTGTTAGTGAAGAAGGGAGGAGAAGTTAGCTTTAATGATGTATTGAATGACACCGAATAAGCGTTTCCAGTGTCTTTTTTTTTATGCCAGCATAACAGCCCTTCAGCCAAAGATATTTCTGGATGAAGTATTTAATGAATTAATAGCTCTCTGCATGTACTTGGAAAATGCAATATTTAAGTTTTATTAATAGTTTTGAAGCGATTTATCAAGGAAGAAAAAATAAAAATTAATAGAAAATAGAAATATCTATCAAGCATCTTCCAATACAGGGAAGAAATATATACAAGCTGGAACTTATATGTAGAAGGAGCCCTGAATTACCAGTTTTATCCTCTGATACCTGCAGGTGATCATATCAATCATATCATTGTATCATATATCATATATCACATCCTTTCATAAAATACCAAGTTGCAGGTAGCTTACTGAGGGTATAGTTAATGAACGTGTAAAGATGTGACAAGCCAAGAGCACTAGCAAAAGAACCAGTTCTGCTCTTTCCCCCTCCTACTCTTTTTTTCCTTCTCAAGATACTAGCTACTTTGTGATGGCTTAAGTGTTGGTATTAACTAGACTACCTACTTTGTTCAACCCTAAATATACCACTAACGTGAAAAGTGAAAGCGTATCCACTGTTACTTCTGAGGTGTCAATAAGCTGTGTAAAGCAAGGGCTGTATCTCAGAGAGCCTTGCCTCACAATTTGTTGTTCAGCTTCTGATACACTCTTATGTTAAAATCTTATTAAAATCTTATTCACTGTATGGGTGCACTAGTCATTAGAGAGGTAACCCATGCGATGACATCATATGGCAAGAGTTTGTGGAAAAAGGGCTGTTGGTGATAAATATAGACATTTGCTCATATCTCAATGTCTCGGGTGGTATCCCACTTGGTAAGTGAGTCTCTAAATGTGAGTGATGACGCAGGTCACGTCTCTCATTTCTACTCAGAAGTGTGGATGGCATTTGGGGTGGTCATTGTGATTAGAGCCTTAAGATGCTATCAGGGAAAAAAAAAAAAGGGGGGGATCTACAATGCTGTTTCCCCTGGAAAAAAAAGAAAAACAGTAGTAACAATGTGATGTAAACAAGCTTTATAATGTGCATGACATTTAGAAAGGGTCATCTTCTCTATTTTAATAAATGTTGTAAGTATTTGCAATGTCTGTATTTTGTTATCAGTTACAGGAAATCAAATTGTCATCTTCTCTCCCTTTCATGTTGGTTAATGGCAAGCTTAGGGTTGCAGAAAGTACATATTTTAGCTAATGCCAAGAGCAGAACAGATTCTGACAAGGACAGACTGTGAAGGAGGTAGGAGAAGCGGGTAATACAGAAATACCAGAAGCAGGAAACCACCACTCACAATTACAGGAAATATTATTAATAGATTAATCCTGATAAAAAGTGTAAGCATAAAGTAGCTGCGGTAGAAAAGAAGGTACAATGCTCCCTACTCTTGAAGTGAAAAAATACTCCGTTGAGGTAGCAAGTAGCCAGCACTTCCATGTGTGGCCTTGCAACAGAAAGATTTTGGAAACACACCAATTCAATGTAAGTATCATCCCCTCTATCCTCCACAACCTTGCAATGCACACCTTTCCCAACCTTTCTGCCACCAGTAAGCAGCAAAAGGAGGAACCATCACTTCACACAGAGAGCTGAGCAATGCAGAAAACCACATTTCATCATTCATGCTTTGAGAGTCATGGAATAGCATGTAATTACATTAACTAACTTTGTTGTTCCACTGCCGAGTCCTTCCTGTGGGAAAGGGCTGTGGTTACGTGCTACATAACCAGCTCAGCAAGTTGATGAAATGTAGACAGAGGACTTACCTCATCACAATTAAAAACCTGCTCTGTTTCCATCTGTGCAGCACAGAACTAACTGTTACAGCAAGGTCAGACCACAGCTGCTTAGCTCCACCATCTAACAATAAAAATTAATACAGGTAGAGACATTAGAGAGGAGGCATGACATCCTGACTGATGTCCTACTCCGTGTAAATAATTAAGCATTTCCTAACCTAATTTACCATGCCTAAATGTACAATATGGAATTATTATTATGATTTGACATTTCCAAAGTTCTAAAGTGGCAAGAGATGATTTAAAAGAGCATTTATAACAATGACCCCGAATCTAAAGTAATTTTCACTGGAAGAATTCAGAAACAGCTACAGTCCAGTTAGTGGATTTATACTGGTAACTCCAATCAGAATGGAATCTTAACTCAGTTTAGTTATCCTGAAATACAAAGTAGTGTTCCTGATGCTTTGAGTATCTATGGAAATTTTAAAATAGTATTTTAACAACTTTCAGTTCTTCATAATTTTCTCTCTTGAAGTACTTCAGAGAGTTTCAGTACTTACTCAAGCACAACTGAAACTTTAAAATTGTTATAAAGAAGCACTAGTTGTAAGAGTTATATTATCCATGCATGAAAAACATAAAGTCTTCAAGTTTTTATATGCAACCACAATTTTATGAAAATTAAGCTTTAATCAATTAGTAATTCAGAGTAGGAAACCCAAATATAACCAGTTTACTGTCAGACCTGGGCCCTTCAACTGAAGAGAGGTTTTTGTGCACGTCTGTCTGAATTTGATATAAAGTTACTATAGGGAATTAGCATATCTTATCTTGCTAAGGGAGAGATCACCAAACACAATTTAGAGGAATTGTTAACACTGAAAGGAACTAGTGTAGTTCTCAAAGATCCATCTTGGGGCTGACTTTAGTATTTTCATTAATTACACTGGCACTAGTGTGCTACTGACTTTTGTTAACGACTCTGAGCTGAGCAGCATTTTTACAATAAAGATTTTTGAAATATGGGTAACTTCTGAAGACTAGAAACAGCCTTGCTTACATGACTAGATGAAATTCAACAGTGGAAAAATGAAAGAGCATGCACTTGGTGGCAGGCCAATATTGCTGTTATTAGCAGAATCTCATCTGCAGGAAACCATCAGGACAGGTGAAAGAACCACACATTCTATTCAGCTGCAGAATCACTGTAGTTTCTGATGTGACAAACCTTTCAAAAGCACAAACAGAATCATAGAACACAGCAGGTGAGAATGTATCCAAAGTAAGTATTTGTTATAGAAAGGACTTGTAAGAAATAAGTATTTTTTGTAGAGAAGACTTGTAAGACTTCATCTGGAATATCATATGCATTTCTGGTCAACATCACTTAAGGATGTTGAATTTTGACGGGAATGTGAGCAAAGGGGAATTGATCTGGGCACTGGTGACTGTCTAACAAGAGGAGACTAACTGTTCTTGGCTTGCGTTATCTAATGAAGGTTGAGCAGGGATGTCTATAAATACATCACAGATGAGATATAGGGAGTGAGAAGGGCTCATTAAATTAAAGGACAGTGTTGGCTAAAAAAGAAACTGTCAGTGAATAAATTTAGTGTTGACTCAGAGCCTTGGCTTTCAGATATGACATAATTGCAAATGATTTTGTGAAAGGATCCCGGTAACAATATACTAGCAGCAGCATAGTGAAATCAGGATGGCCTATGAATGTGAAGACCATTACGGTTTAATGATAACAGCAGGGCAATAGCATAGTTAAGACTTTGATCTTAACGTGGAATCATATCGTGTCCACTTCTTTGTTCCATTTATCTCTATTCCTGGGGGGTTATGATTTGTCATTCTCTCCCTGCAAATACAACTCTCCTCTGAAAATTCTGCTACACTTTTTTCTTCCAAATTGTCCAAGGAATTAGTCTAATTAGTTTAAACAAAGCGCATCTCTCTCTTACGAAGTTTGCTGCTGCTATACCAGACTTGCAGAAGGATCTGAAGATGCCTGAAGATCTGTTCATTTTTTCCAACAAAGCCAGTGAGAATAAAATAGATAAACTGTATTTCTTAGGTCAACAAACATGGCTCAGATAATAAGGAAAAATAGAAAATGTGTATGGTTTTAATTGTCATACTTGCATGGGACCCACTCTAACTTAGAAAATTGTTTTTCTCTGTAATACAGGACTAAGAGATTTGGAGTTGTTAGAAAAATATCAATAACTGTTAGCACATGAACCTGGTTACCTTGGAGACTTGGTTAGAAATTAATGAACCAACATTAACTCTGGAAGGAAGCAGAACATTAACAACTGGAAGGAGACAATGTGTAAAATGATCACATAATTAGAATCTGAAGCAAAACCCTGAGGTAGCTGGAAGGGAAGAAGAGGAGCCTTATTGGGTGTTGCCAGTTCCATCCTGTCACTGAAACTTAACATTTACAGGCCAAATAGATCAACAGATTCATCACAAGGAACCACAGAAGCTTTGTTCCATTCTAACACGATGTACCCTAAATACTGTATCTTCTTTTAAAAAGATGGCATGTGCAACTGTAAAGATCAGAGGTCAAGTTCATCTAAACTGAGTAGGAAGCCATAGTTACAAAAGAGCAGTG